GGCAGGGAAGAGTCTGGGAATGGCACAGGACCAAATCAGTGCCAAAGACTTCCGAATTCCTCCCTTTCTGCAGGCCAGGGAGGGAGCAGACTCTTGGCTGTGTCACAAAAATTCCAAAATTCCTGTGTGATCTTTTGTTATCAAGCTGAGCTTCCTCCAGCACTGGCTGGTGCAAAGCACTGCTCATAAATGAATGGCACAATAAAGTATGAAATATTATACATTTAAAACTAAATTAGCAAAAAAACCCTACTGTTGAACTTAATTTGATTTGATTTAAGGGAAACAAACTTTACTCTGCTATTTGAGCTGGTCTTTAACACCAGAGGAAGACACAAAATACTGCCTATAAAAAAACACCCTTAGGAAAGAAAAGCACAGCAGCAGCTATTTAATGCACCAACTTTTTTTGTTTTGAGGGTAAGAAGTCCTTCAACCATGCAAATAAATTAAGGAATGGAAGTTTGAAAGATAGTAATAAAAATTATGTAAATAATGAAGGAATATGATATACATATATACATACATACATACATACATATATATATATATATATATATACACACTCCTATATTTAGGAATTTAAAGAGCAGGTCTATTGCTTTTAGTAACAAACTCTAGATTACAAGTAAGACATTAATCAAGCAAAGCATTCCTATCCCATCCTACAGTTTCACAAAATCAAGGGATCTGAGGTTTTAAAGGCAACACGAACTATTGTGACCTCGACATCCAAAGTGACAAAATATTTTTGGGTTATGTAGCTGCAGAAAAGATTGAGTATAGGAGATATACAGTGTTAAAATGCATCTAACCTACTGAACAGCACGTGGTTTTATAATTTCCTATTTACATTTCCAATTTCCTGAGAGAAAGGCACCTTTCCTGCATGCCATGGTATTCTCCAACTCCCCAACCAAAATTCCTGAGGGAGGAGAGTGGAGTGGATTAATTTATACAAACTGTTAATATTGATGACAAAATACTCATTTTTAGCAGGCTGAAAATGTACTGGGAGAGTCTCACCATGCTAAAATACAAAGATTATCACGGAACCATGGAATGGTTTGGGTGGGAAAGGGTCTTAAAGCTCATTCCAATCACTCAGTTTTTTAAAAATACAGTTTCAGTGGAGAATAAGGGGGATTGCCAAGGTGCAAGGAATAACAAAACACAGACTAAAACATCAGGAGGACTTAAAAACCAAATTAAAAACCCCCCAGTCCCTAACACAGTTTGTCAATCTCAGCTTGTTTGCCCCTGAAGTGCCATTCCCATCTCCTTCAATTACACACTGGTTTTCCTTAACTCAGACCTGCACCAGCATCATCCATATTTCAATTCAACTAAACCCAGAGTTTTCAAATAAAATGAGTCTTCATGCCCACTTCCCAAAATTAGAGCTGCAGTTCAGCTTTTCAAAATTCAGCAGTATGAATCTAGAAAAGTAAAAGGACACCAATGATAGAAAAGACTTTCTTCTGCAAAGCTTTTAGCTGTTTGGAAATTGTTTATTCTCAACTGACATTTTATTTAAATATCCTATTCAGCAGTTATGAAAGGAACCTCAGCCCACATTTCACTTCCACTAAAATTCACCACTTTTGTGTCAAACTTTCCCTAACAATGGCACTTTGTTCTTCTTAAATATTGGGGAAAAGGCATCCACGATGCCATTTCATACAGAATATATTCCACGCTGGCTTAGTCATGTGTAAATCAAATTTTCTGCCAACTAAAATATTGAAACAGGATCTAAGATAGAGAACAAAACTGAAATTTCTATCTCATTAATTTAATTTTAATGAAATGTTCGTGAAATCATTCCAGTCAATTAGAGTATGCAGAAATATTAGAAATAAAAGTATTTCTTTGTTAATCTCAAGCCTTATGAGTGTAATAAGTGCATAATGTGTATATATACACTGTATATATACACATTTTAAGTCTATAATGTAACACTTGTATCACTACACCAGATGCAGCCTCAAAAACAATGGTTTCATTTTAAAACCTGCACTCCCAGGGATGCTCAGAGGAGTCACAGAAGGTGGAACTGTTTCTGGCAGGGTTAACCTGCTCGGTGGCATTAGGATAAACATCTGGGAAGAAAAGGTTTCTGAAACTCACAGAAGGAATTTCCATCTAGAGAAAACAATGTTTGGGGAGGATTTGAAATTTCAGTTTGGGATGTAAAAGCTGCAGTGCTTTTAAAAATAGCCTGAAAGGACTTTGAACATGAAATCACAGAACGAATATTGATCATTTAAAACAACGTATGACATTTTCAGGATTTTTTATTTGACAATTAGGCCACTGCCATTAAATTCTGGGTACCTACAGGTGAATTCCCCTTTTGCTGTGACCTCAGGACACACAAATGCAGGCCAGGGACAGTACAGTGAGCACCAAACACCCCAACCACCATCTGGAGAGCTAATGAACAATCAAGAGATCCCAAATTAAACAACACAACTTTCCCTTAGAATCTTTAGGACAACACTGTCAAGTCCAATCTATTCCCTCAGCCTCCAGAATCAATTTTTCAAACTTTATGACAGGTCTAATAGTTCCCACCTGTTCCTCCTGCCTGACTTTTGACTGGCACGTTCCCAGCCAGGGTGGAAATGCAGACAAAGGCCCCTATTAGGCTCCGGCTGTTTCTCCACTGTGAGGTTGCTCAGCCATTAAATTAATTCCAGCCCCTTTTTCCCCCTTCCATCTCTTCATTTTTTTGGGGGGTTATGGAAGTTTGGGGAGGTGGAAAAGGGAGATAAAAGTTTGGCATCCAGTTGGTGGGAGAGGTATGAGAAAATCCGAAGTGGTGGAAGTTAAATGCTGAATTTTTTTGATAATATGCTAATTAAACGATTTACAGCAAATCCCATTCATTAAGTTCTTGAGGTGTCTGTATATCTTCAACCATCAAAACTTGGTAAAATTCGACACAGATTTGGGAGACCCTAACAGAGTCCCTCATGCAATGCCTGATTACATAAAGAAAGTGTTGCAACATTTTTCTGGGAATCCTGAAGGATCAATAAGTAACTCTTCTTTCTTCAAGCCAAAAAAATATTTTTCCTGAGATGTTTTTTCCTTTCATTCAGAACTGGCAATTAGACACAAGCACCACACACATATCCTAACAAATTCATATGGGTTCCTTTGGAAGCACCTTAAAAACCTTTTTCCCACAATAAAAATTACCTGATTTTTGCATCAATTTCTAGGGATTTATGAAATGTTATCATTTAAATCTCAAGGTTCTTCACTGAACAGCGAATCACAGGGATTACATTATTCCATTATCCATGACAACAGAGTATTTACAGCATCAACCATAATACCTAAGACAATTATTTTAACGTAATAAAAAAGAGGTATTTTTGTAAGATAAATTTCAGATAGATTTTTAATAAATCAATCATTCAAATTATGATCTGCCCAGGACCATCTTCCTAGAATAAGATACGTAGAGTCAGGACTTGTAGTTTACAACTTACCTGAAAATTAACTATTTAAGCCTCATCATGATGGGGGAAATCTTGAAGACCTGTATCTGTGAGCACTTCATTGTATTTGGATTACTTAATATAAAAAACCAACCTTTAAATATGTCTGAAAAATCAAGACCAGTTCTCTTACCTCCCTTGCCTTGATAATTAATCATTCATAAATTGGTCAGATTCTGTTTAGCTTGATCCAAATCAAATCCCAAACCTCTGAATTAAACACTTCATTTCACTGAGATGTTGGAACAAAGTTACTGAGAACCAAAACAAACTGAAGGAAGAAACCTCTTGATTTATTCAATTATCACCAATTTCTTCACAATCCCTCTTTCAACTCTGTGGGCTGAACATGCTGTGAGCACTAAAAATGAGGAAGCAAATGCTACAAATAACTGTATTTCTATGAAATAACTCTCCATGGCCTCTTATCAAACTGGCAAGTCTCTATCTCTGCAAAAGCCACTGCAAAATCAGCTGCAGGATTAAATCTGGGGGAGAGCACTGGCAAAATCAGACAGAAACTTTTTTTTTAATGTGTGGATGTTTGAACACACAGGGAATGGTTTGGAACTGAAATTTGTATTTTTTCCATAAATTGCAATTTAGGCTCTCGGGCTGAGAACTGAAGCCATTATTGTTGCTTAACTCATCAGTGACAACAACAATCAAGACAATTTAATCTCGATTAAAGAAAAAATCCCAAACAAAATTCCCGAGGTTGTTTTTCACCTGTAAAATTCATCTGCAATTTCTGCAGATAAATTAACCCTGATATTCAAAACTAGCTGCCACAAGTATTTACAGCTGCAGGCTTGGAGTTTCTGTCCTGAAGAGCAACAACTTCCCCAAGACAGTTTTTTCCAGCAAATTTCCACTAAACACAACAGTACAGCCTTTGTACACAGACTCCAAGCTGAGATTTAGTAACTGTGATTTTCCTATCACTTAATTCCATTTAAACTCTAATGAAGAACCTTCTCTAAGGTATCCCACAGCTCATTCACAAGGGTCATCTGTGTGATGATGAAAGAACCTCTAGCAGAGCTCTAATCCATGTTTTAAGAACACAAACCAAGCACTAAAGAGCATTTTAGGGAAATATTCAGCAAAAGAAATGAGAGAAGACAGGAAGGTTAAAATTAAAGGCACAACTTGCTTGGTATCAGTCTTCTCAAGTGAAAGGCTGAGATAATAATTTGCACTAAAGAATGCACTTAATATCCTAAATATGAGTATTTATTAAATCAAATTTTCTTACGGTGATGCTCAGAGGAATAAAGATTAAACTCCACTACCAAGCAAAAGGCTGAGTCCCACTCAGCTTTCCCCACTCTTTATGGCTCAGTATTTTATATATTATCAAATAATATCCTGTGAACATAAAGCTCTCCACTTCATGTCCAGCTTCTCTCTGAGCACTGTGTGTTACCACAATTATGAATTCCCAATCAGAAAGTTAACTCAGGATACCCTGCATCCCCATCTTACCCATCCAGAAGATTCATGGTTGTCGTGGTCACCTCTGTGAAGAGAAGGATTTTTCCCAGCTTCTTGGTCTGCAGATGCTGCTGATAGGTCTTGAGGCTGAAATGTTCTGAGGAGAAGCTCTCCATCTCAGTGATCACGGGCACCAGGGATGGAGTCACCTCCACCTTGGACTCACAGGATGAAACAAACTTCAGGGACACCTTGCTGGATGCCCTCAGTCCCTCAGCATCCACGTTCCCCTCCAGCCATTTCAGGAAAGCAAGATGGATTTCCTGTGGGCAAGGGCAACAAGATGAGAAAGAGAGATCACCCCGTGTGAGGACACACCAACATTCTTCTAAAAACATTTTTATTCAAGCTATCTTCTACTTCCAAACAGGGAAATTTTTCCTCTTCAAAAACAAAGCTCTGTTGCTCACACTTGACACTGTCCTAGAGTTGAGACCAGGCTCCTCTGAAGATTAATTAAGCTTAATTTTTCTCTGTAGCAGGGTTTGCAGTGGTCTTCCTACACTCTGAAGCGTGGAGTGCACACATTCATCCGCATCTTGCAGGTTTCTCAGTGTGCTGAGATCCTCTGCTGGAAGAAACCCTTTAGTCCAGCACTAAGTGTTGGATTAAGCCTTTTTCTGACTCAGAGATGGGGCAACTGAGAGGGGTTTTAAAAACTTTTATTCCGTTTTCAGTCTCATGAGAAGGGTGAGACAATACAGATGTTATAATTCACACCATCACAATCAGAAGCCAATTATTTCCTAATTACAATACACTATAATTGTTTCTTGGCCTATCAGCTTTAGCCACACCATGCTGTAGATGCCTTAAAGCCAATCATCTAAAATTACCCCTCGTGGGTCCCACTACAGTGCATTTTTCACAGTTCTGTTTCTCCAAAGTATCCAGTCTTATTTGCAAGGCCATCCTTTGAAATTTTTTTTAGCTCCATTTCTCTCCCACCAATGTCTGTCCTACTCCAGGGCATTTCTGAGTCAGCATTTCTTGTCTCAAGGTTTGCACACAGATGCACTGTGTGAGCCTTCTGTCAGGCTTGGAGAATTCCCTACAAATTCATTTCCCATAACTAAAACTCAATCTGAAGGCTAAACCAGCAGTTTAAAAACCCATTTACTGATTTCTCAGTGGAATATCTGCTAAAGCAGGTCACACCTTCAGCTAAGGGATGATTTACTACTGTTAGTACCCCTGTGGTGACACCCTGAGCAAACTGCTCCACATTCACTCTTTCTGGAGGTAACAAATTCTGCTCTGAGAGGTTTGATATGAAATGTTTGCCACAACTTTAGAAACAGCCATAAACACAGATTCTGGGACTGTTTGCTCAGTGTGCAGCTTAAATTTCAGACAGTTGAAGTTATCTTTTATGTGATAAATGAAACCACAAAAAATTGCGGCTTCAATTTGACTGGAAATAAGGCACTTCTGATTCTTGCCCTCAAATTTCCAAGACGAAGAGATCTGATTTTTAAACCAAAAGGTCCTAACCAAACCCACACCCCTCATTCCCACCACTGCTGTATCTGGGAACTGGAATACATTTCCTGTGGGTGCTGAAGGCAGGACTAAACTCTCCTGCCCTTGAACGAGATGTGTCTGAGCTCCAGCCCAACTCCTCAAAACCCACAAACCACAGAGAGCAAACTTCCCATAAACAGTTATCTACCCAAGAATTACTCCTCCTTTCCACACCCCACTGTTCTACCTAGAGAAGGAATGAGAGAAGTGCTCCTGTTCCCAACACCTTTCTCTGGATTTCCACCCCCAGAAATGACCTGTTCTCAAATTTCACAGCCACTGCTGCCTGTGCTGTCAGCCCTGCAGCACCAGTGGCACAGTAGGACTCAAAAAAATATAACAATTTTTCCCATATTCTGTCAAGCACTTGGTTCCAAGCCCCAAGACTAAGAGAAACTCAGCTCAATTTTAGCTACAGAGAAATTACTCCTCATGTCTTGCTTTCCCCTAAAGCTCCCTCTGAATATTTTCTGTCTAAACTCTTGGATAAAATATATTTAAATATTTCCTTTCCCCCCACTTTTTTATTTTCTGCTCTGCATTGTAAATGATGATGTGATGATGATTAAAGGTTTTGTGAGCATTTCTTTGACTTGCACCTTCATTCAGAGCTTTGACAGAATAAATAAATTCCTTACACATTATCCTCCTTGTTTTACATACCCACAGTAATTGATTGGCTGTAACTGATATTTAGAAAAATTACAGCTTTCATTTCTGTCAGGGAGAACATGGAAAAACTGTGCTTAATCAGAGAGTGTTTTCCTATCGCTTTCCAAACACAGAAATTCACTCAGCAGCACTGGATGTGCAAGTCCTACACACAGAAAGAGAATTTTAACTCAACTAAGGATGGGTTTGCAGTCTGACAGAAATTAAGTTACAAAATAAAGGTGATTAAAGTGTGATGGCACTGTAAATAAATAATGAAAGTGCTTGAGGCTGTGTCAGAAATTATGATGTGTTTTTGCCACAGAATATTTTTTGGAAAGAACAAAACAGCGCCTATTTCTGTGTGCTGTTCCATTATTACAAATATGCCACACAATTCCAACCACTTACTCTCCTGAGTGTATTATTTCAAGTGATTTTTCCCCATAGATTTTAGGCAAACTTCTTGTTTTCACTGCTTCTAACACATCCTGAACCATTTAAGAATTGTTGTATGTGTATAATTCTCAAGGTCATTTCCCCTTTAATGTCCATGTGCTTACTGAGCTGATCAAAAATATAAACATATAATCAAGGATGGGGATTTTTTCAAATTCCTAAGAAAATATGGGTTTAGGTGTTTAACAAAATTTCAAGTACTGGTCACAGTAGGAATATTAATTTTACTGTAAGAACTTCCTTCACACAACATTCCAGGAAGAGGGATGCTGAACACCCCACAATTATATTGGCACAACAAAAATAACATTACTGTATAACAAAATGAAGTTATATGCAAAGTCAGGGTTAAATTCTGCTCCAAGCCCACTGAACAGGAACACAATCCTGTCAGAACGGTGGGACTTCAGCCCAGGATCCAGCTGGAATTCCCAAGCTCTCCTGTTCCAGCAGCATCTGCCGTTCTGCAGCAGCCTCTGGCGGCCACTGCCACGAGAGGTGCTGGCTCAGGAACCTCCTGGACACCTCTGGGAGCAGCCCAGGCATCCAGCACAGGGCAGGAAACAGCCAAACTGCTGGAATCCCTTCCTGGGAATCCTGGAAGATGCTGCTCCAAGATTCAAAGGATTCTGGAATCCCAGAAGCTGCAGCTGTTCCATGTTCAGGCTCTGACAGGATCTGCAGCGACTCATCGTGGAAAATCTGCATTTCACAACCTACCAGCGACTGCTTCGGACATTTAATAACTAAACTGCTCGCAGGGTGGCACAAATAAATTCTGAAACTGTTCTTCATCAGCTTTGGGCAGGACTGAAGCTAAGCTAAATTAAATTTTCCATGAAATATAGAATTCCAGAATGGTTTGGAAGGGATTTTAAGGATCATCCAGTGCCTCCCCTGCCATGGCAGGGACCCCTTCCACTGTGCCAGGCTGCTCCAGCCCCAATGTCCAGCCTGGCCTTGGGCACTGCCAGGGATCCAGGGGAATTCCCAACCCCCTTGGGCACCCATGTGCCAGGGCCTGCCCACCCTCCCAGGGAACAATTTCATCCTAATATCTAATTTAATTCTGTTCTCCTCCATCCTAAAGCCATTATTTCCTATAAAACTGTGGAGTTTTTCTTCCAATCACACTTTTCAAGTGTACATTCCCTAATGCAAAGATATTCCCTTCTTTTCCAAAGTAAGAATTAAACTTCTCATCCCAGCTAAACAGCTCGGTGACACGAGAGCTACTCAGTTTTTAATTTAAAATATTCATCTAGGAGTTTAATATTTATAGGAAGAAAATGTTTCTACCTGCATTTTAAATGGTAAAAAATGTAATTTCAATGCATTCTAAAAGAAAAGTCACCACAAGCAGAAAAGCACTGCACCAACAGAAACTACCCAACACCTCTCACACTCCAAAGCTCAATTGAAATCTTTTGAAGAGAAGCAAGGAGAGACTGGGAATTTCCCAGGGACACACCAGGAGAATTCTGATTGTCACACTGAGAGTGGCACTGAATGAAAAGCTCTGAGCAAGAAGGAAGATGCAGAGGACAGTAATTCCCAAAATTCCCAGAAATACAAAGTTCATCTACTGCACACTCCAGACCCTCAGCCCTCCACTTATCAGCACAAATTGTGGTAATTGTAACACAAAGAAAGAAGAGCAAAAGCTGATTTTATTAATGATTTCACATCTGCTTTCTGTGATTTTAAGAGTCTGGTCAGGTGTGTGCAGAAATGCTCCGTAACAGAAGCTTGCTTTTGCTGTTTGAAATTCTTCTTAATTTCATAATCATTAAGTTTCACATTTCCCCAGTGCTCACTTAGAGGCTGAGACTGAACAACAAGGAGGGAAGAGGGAGACAAAAACCAGCTGCATCTGGAGCCTTCTCTGCTGTGGTATAAAATAACACAAAATTACAGCTCCTGACGGAGAAGATTTTATTTGCACCTGGGCTCTGTCAAACAATGAGAGTTCTGCACTGAGCACACCCAGTTATAATGGTTAAAAATAAACCCAAATCCAGGACTTTATTCTTACAATCTGTTTATATGGATAGGATTTGGATGTGTTTTTTTATTTTTATCTGCATGTTCATGCACACAGATAAATGCAATTTAACTGGGCAGATTTGGGAGCTGCTCTTTCCTACCACGGGCCTAAAACTCCCCATCAATGGAATTCTTTGTTGAGACAAAATTCACTCACAGCCTAAATTCATTTGGTTCCTATTAAATTCCATTTTAATTTGGTTCCTATTAAAAGCATGAAGGCGAAGCGAAACGAAAGCTACAAATACAATGTCATAAAACAAACATCTTCCATCAGCTCCCTCCTCCCCTGTGAGGGAAAAGGACAGGATTTGAACCATGATGCTCTACCTGAACACTCAATACTGGGATTAAAATACTGTACCTGAACAAATATTGGGATTAAAATATTGGACTTTAGCTGTGCTTGTGAAGCGAGGCCAAATATTCACTTTCTGGAGACACAAAACATGAATTAAAACCTTTTCTTCCTTCCTTTGTGCAAAATCTAATGATTTTTAATTAACTACCTTTATTTTTGAGAAGTTTCCAGTTGATGCCCTGATTCATGTTTTATCAGCTGATGGAGTGATTAAATCTCTTT